GTAACATGTTAACTCTTTTCTGTAAAATGTTAACTCTTTTCTATAACATGTTAACTCTTTTTTGTAACATGTTAACTCTTTTCTGTAACATATTAACTCTTACAGCTAACATGTTAGCTGTAAGAGTTAACATGTTAGCTGTAAGAGTTAACATGTTAGCTGTAAGAATTAACATGTTATCTATAAGTGTTAACATGTTACAGAAAAAAGTTAATATTTTACAGAAAAGAGTTAACATGTTACAGAAAAGAGTTAACATGTTACAGAAAAGAGTTAACATCCACTGACATGAGAAAGAAGAGGGTAAATTTGGGATTTAAGACAGCTGATATGTCTAATCATGAGCTGACATGTCTAATCAACTGCTGAAATGAGCTGGAATCATGATGGAGGAGTGATGGGGGGGTTTGGACACATTTTTTTCAAAAAGGAGGGGCTAAAGAACATTAAAAAAATAGGAGGGGCTGGGGCACATTTGAAAATATAAATTTGGAGCCTAAAAGTAATTTTTCCAAAAATTTATGCCACATTATTTTATCAATATGTGTATATTATAGAATTACAGTTATATAAGTATATTGTATAACTGCATAAGTATAATAATATATAAGCATCTAGTATATATAAAAGTATATCATATAAGTAAATTGTATAATTGTACTTAAATAAGCATAATGTAAGTATGTAACAAATACATATATAACTACATAATACGTATTTATAAATATGTGATATATATTTATGTGATTCTCTCTCTCATGTTATAACTTATAAGTATATATAATATATTTACATATGTATATATAATACATAGTTACATAATAATTTATAGTATATACTAATACATAATTATATAAATATAATAAGGTTAAACTAATTTTAGCAAAATTTAGCAAATTTTTAGCAAAAAAGAAAAGAGAAAAAAATAAAAAAATCGGGCCGGCCCGGGTCCGGGCTCCGGGTTTGCCCGGCCCGAGCCTGGTTTTTCAGGCCGGGCTCCTATACAGGCTCGGGGCGCCAGTTTTCCGCGCTGGGTCGGGCTAGGCATGGGTCTAGCCAGCCCAGGTCCATGCCGGCCCGGATGGACACCCCTATACAGACCCTTGTCAATTCACTGACCATGACAGTCTTATCGTCATGATCTTTTGCTAGCCTTAGCCTGTCCATTCTTCTTTAGCAGCCACCTTCTATTATGTTAAAAGATTGCGTCATTATCATATAAAAGAATTTTCTTCTCCGCTAAAAACATATATTTTTCTCTTTAAATAACTTAAAAACTGCGGACATACCAGATAACGTGTGTAAAATTTTGATGTCATAATGTCTTAAAATTTGCAATCTGAATATAAGTTGAGGACGTCTCCACTGCACTAAAAAAGTAAAAAATATGAGTACGTAATATGATTCAACGCCAAAATTTGAATTAATTACATAATTAATAAATAAGTGATGACATCATTTTTTGTGTAAAAC